TTAGGAAGAAGTGGTTGTGAGGTGTCGGAGTTGGGGTGGGTCGACTTTTATAGGTGAGAGGACCAGAATTGAGTGGCTGTAATGGTGACGGGAAAACGTTAGGTGCATTTTCCGAGCTTGTGGAGATGGTGGACATGGTTGATGCCTTGATGGAGTCAGATTTATCGATAGTTGTTGAGTGGTAGGGAGAAAAAAAAACGAGGAAAATTAATTCTGGTGATGATTGATAAAGAAAATTAGATGACAGGGTATTTGTGTATATGCCACTGAATGATTAACAATTTTATACTAAATTGACATGTTTTAAAAGTTAAGGTATTGGATTGACACATTTTAAAATTTAGAGACTAAAGTGACACTAAATCCAAAGTACAAGGTAGTAATCCGGAATTTTTCCTAATTCATATAGAGATGTTCTCCATCATTCCGAATCCTCTACCCACAAACCATTACCACATTCATACTAGTTCAACTTCTATCATGCCAGCAGCCCCTTACAACCTTACATTGAAAATATCTCCCATAAAATAAATCTTATGAAATAAATCACATAAGAACAAAGATATTCCCAACGTTGTAAAGGTTGTTGGAATGGACTTTGCCTTACCTACAAACCATTACCACTTAGCATGCTCAGTTCATACCCACTACCATCGTTGCCGTGTATTGTGAAATCTCAAATGGATGTGGGGAACAGTTTGTCCGGCCCAGGGAATATTTGTCGATTATAAACCGCCCTTCCTAACCCTGAAGTTCATTATTTCTTTTGGTAACACTAGCGTTTAGTATTTGATGGTATCTGCCCACCGTAAGTATTAAGTGTTTCTACTTATCAGAAAAATAAAAAGAGTATTAAGTTTGTTCACATTCAAAATTGGTCGGATTTCCTGCACTCGGATGGGTTTGTGCAGGGTGCACTTCCGATCAAAATCGAACACATGTTTATTTAAGCACCCTATGAAAATACATGTTTACTTAAGCACCCAATGCATATGTGCTGAAAATACATGTTTACTTAAATTATCTGTACTTTTACTGTTTAATTATTATTTTAAATTATTTTTATTATTTCTGACAATTGATTAATTTTAATTTTACCTTGTTGTTAGTATCTATTAATCTTCCATCAAAATCTATACACACGTGACATTAATACCCTTCATCCCTCTGGCTAACCCTTCTCTTTTCTCTATTTTTACCCTCCCTCTTCTCTACCATCGTAGCAAGGCGTCAATATGAATTTGGGTCCGCCACCGCCTCCGTCCTCTCTATCACCATCCTCTTCCGAGTGGGAAAGAAATTGCAATTAAACAGATCAACCGGAAGTCGCCATTATTAGCTGAGTACATCAAGCGGAAAACTCACAGATAAATCAAATGTTTTCTCTTTTGGAGTCATGTTGCTGTAATTGATTACTGGGCGTCGACCATTGCTTACACGGGCTTTAGAAGATGGAAACTATGACACTTATGTTGATCCATGGTTAAAAACAGATTATGACCAGAAAGAGATGGCACGTATCGACCCTTTTGATACTGATGGTGCAACAATGGGAGAAGAAAACTAAAACAGGGGTGGCGTGATATGGAGATTAAAGACTCCTTTCTAGGATCTTGGTCTAAACGTATAACCCCCGTGAGAGAAGCTCCCTTGATTGCCCACGTGGTATGGTATGAAAAGCCAGCGGCGGGAGAAAAAATGGATAAGAGTTGGGGTTCTTTTTTATTGAGTTTTTTGAGCATTCAGGGAAGAGAATTCAAATCAAAAGAAACTGCACCATTTTCGGTGGTTTAGTTCAGAAGCCACCACTGCCTCCGCCATTTTTGAAATAAATAAAGCCCGAGAAATTAGTACAATACATTATTGCTGTTTTGAGTATCATGCATTGTTGAAACAGAGACAGAAAATAGAGATTCAGGCAGAGACGGAGATAGAAGTGGAGATGGAGATAAAACACGTTGACAGAGGTGGAGATAGAAACAGAAACGAAAATAGAGACAGAAACCGAAACAGAGAAAAATAAAAGAGATGGAGGCAGAGATGGAGGTGGAGACAGAAAATGGAGACGAAGATGAAGATGGAGCCTATCTTTCTGAAAATTTTTATCAGTTGGATTTTATTTTGAAATTTTGAAAGATGCTAAATGGCAAATTTGATATTCTATTTTTTCCATTAACACTTAATAAGGATGTCAATTGTCATAAACAGTAGGGGTGATGCAACACAATAATTAAGCAGTAAGGGTAGACTTAGTCAATTAACTAAACCATAAGAGTAGTTTAAAAAAAAGTGAAAAAAAAAAAAAACTCAGTTAAAATGAAAGAAGAGCCTCAACCAAAGAGACTAAAAAGATGCCATTAACGATTTTGAAATTATTTTGTTCATTCACCATTTCTTCTTCTTTGGATGCCATTAACACAGACCCTCTCGTTTTTGTTTACCCCTCCCTTTCCTCACATTCCTCGCCTATAGCTTTCAAACCTTACAAGATGACAGAATTTTTGGAACATTTGTTTCATGTCTAACCTCATTCTACCTGAGTGAATCTTCCCTTGACGTATCCCAATCTAAGACCAGCAGAAATCTACTTTGGGTCATTAAGCTAGACAAAAATTCCATTTCAAAGGTTTCAGAACTGACCACTGGAATCGGTTGCTTCCAGATCATAAATCATGGAATATCAGCAGACTTTTCAAGGTTTGAAAAGAAAGAATTTCCTGCAATGGTTAATGGCGTTTGTAGGGTTTAGTGTCTCCTTTCGTTTGGAGTCCCGACTCTTCACTACTCAAACTGGATTCCTTCCTCATTTCTTTCACTTTTTCTTATTATTTTTAGTATCAAAAGTTGTATGTTAAGACGTACCATTTAGTTTTCTATCCATGCAACTGGGGTCCCCACATGTGAACCATGATAGTATGATGTGCTTGATTTTGATTGGAAGTACATCCCTGCATACACCTATCCGAGTGCAATAAATCCGGTGGATTGATTAATTGGTTTTGTTTATATTGAAAATTACAATATAAATTTTTTAAATTATTCTCATGATTTAGTTAATTAATTAATTCTATCCTTACTGATTATATATTATTTTAAAGTATTCCTATTATTTCTGATACTTGACATCGTCCTTAAACATTAACAAAGAATAATAAAATGTTAAATTTATCCTCTATTATTCTTTAAATTTTCAAAATAAAATCCATCTAATCTCTGATTTCAGTGCATAGAAACCATTGAAACTTACCTCAAAATTTCACTCAAGTTTTCCCTCATAGACTCTTTCAGTCTCCACCACCCCCTATTCTTTCTCCACAATCACTGTTGAAACTAAACCAGAGCAGCCACCAATCCCCACCGTTGCAGTAAAGGCAGCAGTTGCCGGAGAGAACAGAGATGATGGTGTCAACGGGGTGTTCACAAAAGTCCCAATTCCTTTTGGGTCTTGAGGAGCACAAAGTGGAATAGGGCCTCAGGTCCAAAGGTTCGATGGATAATCTCCTTCTCTCCGTGATCTTGAATGAGAAGTCCCATGGCATGTTAGGAAGACAACCCTTGTAGCTTCATAGGCGTCCATTGGTGTCCAACCCCTAAACCTTTTTCCAACAATTGTTCCGAATCCGTTGCAGTAGTAGTTACTAGTTGGTTCTCTCTAACGCCCCCGTTTTAGAAAAATCTTGCGTCTTTGTCGTCATCCCCTCCTTGTTCACTCCTTGTTTTAATGCCAGTGAAATCTCGATCTAATTGTTCTGAATCACCACTTGCACATCCATTTGATCAATAGGACAAAATACTCATTCTAAACATCAACTAGGAAAGACACAACCGATTACTGACCGATTATTAAACGAAACAAACATAAATGACTACTGTGGTGAGATAAATGGAAGATGTAGTAGTAATGGAGCTTACCTATCAAGATTTCTGCCTTAAACGATGCAACAAATTAAAAGATTTCGATCACTCTTTGTTTCGGATTGCTTGAGAGGAATGAACTTCCATGTGTGAGTTGATGACGATTTCAAATAATGGTGGCTATAGTCGGTTGTATTTGGCCAACAAAGAAGTTAGAGAACAAGGAAGGGTTTATGTTTGGTTGAGGATCGAAGAACGATGAAAAGAAAGATAGATAGAGAGAGGGAGATGGAGAGTCGGAGACGGAGTCGGAGTCAGAGTCAGAGACAGACGAATATGCAGTCAGTCAGAATTAGAGACAGACGAATATGCAGTGAGAGTTGGAATTGGAGTTGGAGATGGAGACTGAGATAGAGACAGAGTCGGGAGACAGAGATTGAGATAGAGTGAAATCATAAAAGGGCATTTTAGGTTTTAGACAATTATCAAAAAAGTTTAAACATAATTTAAGACAATATCTAAACAATAAGGATAGAATTAATCAATTTCCTACAAAATACTTTAACAAATTTGACCTTATACAGAAAATATCTGAATCTGTATTCTTACCTTGCAAGGTTTAGAACAGAGACTGCAAAAACAGTACTGTAACTGTGTAACATCCTCCTAAGTCCCTAAGTCCTATCTATCAATCTCTATAATAAAAGACAAATGATCAAATAATTTCTTCAAAGATTACCATCATTTTCCTTTCTATTCTTAACATTTTGTTACATTCCCTTCCCTTTTCCTTGTCTCTGTCCTCTGTTTTCCTTCTGAGTCTTTGGCAGCCACCGAAACCCCATAAAGCATCACGCTTTGATCACGAACCGTCAGGCGTCAGCAGTCCACCCCACCTCAACACGGTCAGGACCACATACATCCATGACCGATGTCCCTTTGATTTGCAGATAGTCTCCACTTGTCCACTCTCGCTCCAAATTATTTATCCATTAAATTGGAAAAGCAACGAGGCATTACAAATATATGCACACACTTTTAAGTAGTACACTAGTCTTGATAGATGATTAAATCAATTTAGAATAGAAAAAGAAAAAATAAAAAGACAAAAGTGAAAATGAGCACGAGAGAATTGCCATTATGCCTTACGCTCCCCCCCGTGGCACTTCTGCAATCAAGAGCTCCTTCAGCCACTCAAATGTGCGACGGTGAGAAATGGCCTGCTTCTTCTTGTGATGCGGCTGACGATGTACAAGAGTTGTATCGATAATCTCTTTCTCGCTCACACTCAATTCCCAACTGCTACTCTTGGCCTTGCTCATAACTACCTCAACTGTACTAACTGAACACTTACAGCTACTCAATCCATCCAAAAATCTCTGTCTCTGCCTCGTTGTTTTCTCTACTCTGACCTCATTGGGACTGTCTCCGCTCCTGTTACCACTGCTCCTCGTACTATCACTACTTGAACTGTTATCGCTTTTGTTTCTATTTCGACGTTTGAGGTCTTGTAACTCAATCTCCGGTGCCCGTACTACACCCACTCGGAAAAGCCTCCATACGGTCGATCTCCGGTCCCGACCACCAATATTTACAGACCGAGCACCAGAACTAGAATACCAAATTTGAGGTTTTGGGCTTGGGTGGGTATGAAAATGGCTGTGCACCCTTGGCTTGTATCTGCTGGCGGGGACTGAGCTGCCGCCCGACAAGTTGTGACTTGTATAGCTATTGCTCCTGCTCACGCTAGACGAAGAACTATGCTCCAAGGACTCTGATATCGAATCGAAACTACTGATCTTCCGGGTATCTTGACGAAATCCGGCCAATCCGCTGTCGGAGCTGACAGAGAGTCGTAAAGGAAGAATCTGGCCTCGAAAGAATAGGTCGTCGGCTGCACACATTTCTGATTCTGTCGAAAGAGAAGCAGCCAATGAACCGAACTCGAAGTCTTCTTCGGTTTCATCAAGAGCTATAATCTCATGATTTGCATGCTTCTCTCCTTTGATTTCCATGCGCGGTAGATCACAGAGTGACAAAACTTCTGCTGCTTCCTCGTCGGAATTCAAACCCCCCCATTTTAGGTCACTGCCATTTCTCCCCATATCTACAACTGAAGACCGAGTTCCCTCAACAATAATACAAACCCAATTGCCTTCTCTTCCAGTAAATATGTAAATAAAGTAAGGAAAGATTGGAATTTATAGAAAGAGGAGAAGATATTTCATATTAATTTGAATATCTCCAGTGATGTGGGTTGTGGGGTGCTTTTAAAATGAAAGATGGAGACCTGCTGTGTAGCTGTAGACTGTAGTCGACCCAAATTTCTACTTTTTTGTCTTGTTTGGAAGGTCGTGACTCGTGGAATTAGAAATTTAGATTATTACTAATAACCAGTATCGATCAGCCCAGAAATAAGAAACGGTAGTTGCCGCTGGCCGCCAAGCCTGCTGATATTAGGACTCTGGATCTCCTGCCCTCGATAACTCTGCCCACACACTATCTCGTGAATTGGAAATATCTCCCCCTGCATAATACTATGCTGAGGTTTAGATATTCTCCATGTGTGGCTGAGATAAGCGTGGGCAGGAGATCCGGACTCTGCTATGTACGATTTTTCGTTTACCTTTTAGTTTTAAGTACTTTCAATATTTTGAAATTCTTTGCGTTCGGTTTTCATTCTTTCTTTTTATTTTTCGTGATCAACTTCAAAATTTCAAATGTCTGGTCACGTACACAGCCTGTTAAGAAAGACGCTTTATTTTTATTTTTTATTTTTCTATCAATGAATGGCGAGGTCTCGGTGTGTGTAAATTGTTTTTTTTTTTTTTTGAAAAAGGGTGTGTTGTTAAATTGTTAATTGTTAAACACGTCTTCTATTTTCAAAGAAGGATGTGTATACAACTTGTCAAAGGGCTTACAATGTGATTTGGTGGTTCTTTTTTTCAAATACATGATGCATGATATATGCATGTGGTGAATAAGAATAACAATAGCTAAGGACCCACATCCCTGTTACTATGTGATTAGATCAAACTATTAATAATATAATAGATCGTAATTGATGATTTTCTTTTGTCTTTCAAAATGGATGCGTAGCAAACATCCAAACATATGACCTTCTTTTGGCATTGTTGATTAGCAATGTCAAGACTCAAGACGGCCGACACTATGTGCTTCCAAATTCCAACAGAGGAGACAAAGGCTACCATATTGGATGCATTCAACTATCCAAAGGAGATGTGCTGCTAGTCCTTCCTGCCCCACCATTTACTACAAAAAAAAAGCAGACACGGTTGAAGCCGCACCGACAAGGCGACAATGCAACGATGGAAGCAAATTAGGAACAGAGGTGAAGCAGGGTTTTTGTTCAAACTTCTTGAGTTTCTACTTCAGAATTTCTAAATCAAAACATGGGAAAAACTTGTGTCGGAAGTTCTTATCTTCCATTCGGACCAATGAAACAATGAATTTCCATTTAACTTGTATAACTCTTCACCAAGTTCTTCTCATTGTAGACGACCCAGAGTGTACTGTAATGTTACAACCTATACTTTGGCTTCCAGAGGTCTGTTTGGTGACAAGTTTTCTGGCTCCTCACCTCCCAATTGGCTTGGTGAAGCTTTGTCAAGTCCCTTGTGTTTGTCTACTGGGTAGTGGTCCTGTTGTGTGTCTGTTGTATTATTTGTTTTTTTTCTCTTTTCTCAGTAAGGAGATTTGTAAAATCATTAGGCAAAGTTTTGGGGAGTGCGACAATTGCCTAAAAAAATTTTAAAATCAAAAGAAAAGGCTAGACAATAGGTTAGAAACGTGTTTGAGGAAAAATAACCTCTTGTTTTCCCTCAAAATTTGGACTATTGCACTCTTATCAGAAAGAAAAATACACAGGGCATCATCTATTTCCATTCGAGGACGGGAGAATGTTGGGATGGTTTCTTTGAAAATGATCCAAGCTGGAGCAACTGAGGCTTCATCCTCACCAAAGTAGTACAGATGAAGATCATTCATGCACGAAATGTTCCATTTCCTTTTAACTTGTCCAACTCTTAACTAATTTCTCATTGTAGTAGACCCAGAGTGTATAGTAGGTCCTGTAATGTTGTACTTGTAGCCTATGCTTTGGCATCCAGAGGTCCGTTTGTTGACAAGTTATCTGGCTTTTCTCCTCCTGATTGTCTTGGTGAGGCTTTATCGCTTGAGTCGAGTCCATTGTGCTTGTCTGTTGGGTAGTGGTCCTGTTTTGTGTTTGTTGTATTGTTCTGCCTTTCCTCTTTTCCTAATAAAGAGATTCGTAAAATCATTCGCCAATGTTTAGTGGGGAGAATGGCATTTGCTTTTGCTTAAAGAAAAGGCTAGACAAAAGGTTAGAAACATATTTTTTGCAAAATAACCTCTTGTTTTCCTCCAAAATTTGAACTATTACACTCTAATGAGAGAAAAAAAAAAAAAGCATCCTCTATTAAATATGGAGGATGTGATAATAAATACACCCTCTATTAAACATGAAAAATACACTGTGAAAACTCAACGTATGAAATGTAAACAAACTTCAAAGTGATTGGTCAAAAATTTTGCCCCTCATGAACTAAGGTCGCTTTTGCCAAATTTGGATTCGCCTTTGTTCATTAATTCAACTAAATGTTTGATTATATTACGTTTATTGAAGATCCCAATGAATATGGAGGTTGGACCAAAACAAGTTACATGGTCTATAAAACAAACAAACAAAACAAATAAATAAATAAAACAGATTATGGAAAAACCTCTTTTAACTTGCCTTTCATATTATTCTTTCTTTCCCCTTTAAGAAAAGTCTGTTTCAATTTGATAAATTAAAGTGAATCTCAGTTTTCTTTTTTATTAGGTATTCGAGCTCATACCTTTGCAGTGCCTTTTAGAAAAAAAACTAGACTCTACTTTTGAGAAGGAAATTTGACTTTTTCTCAAAAATGATATACTGATTGATATACATGTAAGGTCAGGTAATTTTCTGAAAAATGATATATTCCAGGCTCGGAGGCCACTCTGGTCACCGGCTCTTTCAAGAATGAAGACTTAGCCTTGTGTTTGGTTTAAAGGAAAAAGTAGGGAAAGGAATGAAAAGGTAGAAAAATTTTTACAAACCTTTGATAAATATTTTGACAAAGCCTGACCGAATCTAGTAGGTACAACAAATTAAATATGTTAAATGAGCATTTTATAAATATTTTAACAATTACTAAAAGTGGGTATTAATCTTTTTCAATGATAGGCTGGGGATATTTTAAAAGACAGGTGTCAAAAAAACTTCTAAGTGCTCATTGACCGAGCTTTCAACGTTATGGTTACATGATCTCAACTGGCTTAAAGCGTGGAAATCAATCATATTTTATGTATTTCGTTGAACACTAATGACTTCGAGTGTTTTTTGACAATCATAAAAACCTTTCCTAAGTTTTGGCTAAAACAAAAACCTCCCCTGTATTTATCAATAAATTGATAGTCGCGCCTCCCTTTGTCATCTGTTCAATAAAGGAGACAAATAAGCTACAAAATTGCTTCCACTATACATTATTATTCATTTTTATTCTAAATAATTTAAATTTTATATTTATTCTTCTAGGGATGGGTTCACTCATTGATCGATGCAATGTTGCTTACTTTACATCAAAATTGTTTGAACACAAGGGGTGGTTCAACAATGGTTTTAAAAAACAACCTGGAAATGAAACCGTTCTGGTCATCAGTTTTTGGGTTGATAATACGATCGTCTGTTTCGAATGGACAATCTATTTTAATAATAATAATTAAAAATAAAAAAATGGCTAAAAATTGTTCAACGGGTCAATGGTTCGACCGCCCTAGTCAACAAGTCATTGATCGATTCAATAGTTTTTGGCTAGGGATCGGGTTTCGAGTAAAATGGAACCGGTTGCTTGGACCAAGGTTCAAAATATCGATACACCTGATATGCCGATATGGGCGTATCAGGCAAACCAATACTCCTTTTGGTGTTTTTTTTTTTTCACCAACTGGTTTAGGGGAGCCGGTTTAGGTCTTCACTACAGCCTGAACCGGTCAGACCATTGATACACCCACTGTAGGGGGGTATCAGTGGGGTGTCGAAATGATACGTATCGGCCAATACTGATCAATACGTATCGATACTATGAACCTTGGCCTGGACAATTCTTGGGCTGAACGGTCTGATCATTTGGGTCAACAATGGTTCAAAAACCATGGGTTCAGTCATTGTTGAATGGTCTGACCATCCGAGTCCGCTTGATTGTGTTCTCTTTGAACTTCTTGGTGTAACCAATCTATGCTTGTGATCTCCTATGGGTGAACATTGCATGATTTCCCAAATTTAAGAAGTTTCAGGAATGGAAAGTGAAACAAGGAGAGGAATAATAAAAGGGTAAAGTTATTTTGGGTTCTACACCTCAAAAGATAAGGTAAAAGTGGCATTTAAAAAAAAAAAAAATGCAAAGCATCAACATTTTGAGTAAGACCAAGTAACTAGCTATTTATTCAAAACTAGAAAGGAGGTTTTTGTTTTAATCAACTATTCCTATTGACAAACTGTATCCTTTTACATATTGACACGTAGGTAAATACAGAAAGAAAAAATGAAAAATCAAATTTATCCTTTACTATTCATCAAAATTTCAAAATAAAACCTAAGTGACTGTGTAGATTGATTCATTCGCGAATTCCGGTGTTAAATCCCGTCCAGATACCACCGTTGCTGTTCTTCCTCACCGTAAATTTGTACAGACCTCGGCTCTCAGCTTTGTGCAAAGTACCCATCCTCTCCCACCGCCACCAGCTTTCACATTCATCGCCTCTGCCATGACAAATAGCAGCTTTCACATTTGTGCTCTGTCTCTCTCTCTGAAAAGCTTCTACTCTTATATTGTCCGTTGAACCAACTTCCGGATTTAGTTTCTTCTGCTTCTTCATATTTTCTTCTACTCGAAAAGCTTATTTATCAGCCATCCATCTTTATTACTTCTTTAACTGACTCAAGAAGCAATCTGCACCAGAGCTCTCTTACCAATCTACTCCAGAGCTCACACGCCCTGTGGGAGGAGCAGATCCCACCTCGTTCATGAGCCAGGCTCGG